TTCTTGTCAAAATCATGGAAAGAAAAGTGTTCCCTCCTTGTAAAACCTGCTCATTGTAAGGCCCTTTTTTAACGGACTTGCCACAGCCCTGCCTTTCTTTTCTGTATCTAAGCACAACTTAATCAATTTCTCTCTTTTCCTCATTTCCTTATTCCTCCTTCCTCACCTTGTGCTATATCTGGTTGCTGCCTCTTCTTGATCTTGGACTCAGCCACTTTGGATTCGTGATATGCCGATGTCATTTTGATGAACCATGTTGCCCTCAGCATTGGCACTGAGTACTCGCACAGTGTCAGGAACATGTCTTCTCTCTTGCTGAAGATAGGCACCTATTTTGGAAAGCAAAAGAAAAAATAAATAACAAAAAAAGTAATAAATAAATACACAAGTAAATAAATAGATAGGATAAAAAAAAAATCATACCATAACACATTTACTTTGAGATTCTGAAAGGCATCCACTAAACCAAAATTTCATAAAACAATCTGGAATAAGTTATTTTTTTATTATCCCAGTATACCATGTTAACCCATCTTGCAAAAAATGACCCATCCTTATGTCCTAAAAAAAACAAAAAAAAACACACACACACCTTCTTAGCAAGGGCCATTAAGGGCTTTGATCCTGCCAGGTCCTTAAACCAGGCCTCAATCGCTGTCTTGGACCTTGGAGTGACCAACCAGAAGTTGTCCTTGATATTGATCTGCTGTTTCTTCCTGGCAGTATCTGGCAGTTGGTTGCATTCTGCTTTCTTCTTGAGGATGGCATTGAAGTAGTTTGCCACCTGAGAGTCAAGACAAGGGGAGAGGAAAGGAATTAGTTACCAGTATTCAGTAACAATATTCATCATAATCCTGTTGCTTCTGCTTTTTGTGTCTGCAGCATCTGGTAGGATTTTTTTTTAATAAACTAACACTAAAATGCTATCATCTGAATGTGTTGATCTACTACTAATGATAATGATCTTTTCATTATATCTTATTGATATATTACATTTTTCAGCCCCGAATCATAATTGTCATTTCTTATGGCATATATCAGTGCAAAACAAGAGCTGGTAATAAAGTGATGGAGGTATACCCTATAGCACTCCTGAAGCATTTTGAGAAGAGGTGAGTGAATCAGTAATGTATAGAAACTCTCAGTAAATAATGCATAAGAAACACAATACATGTACATATACATGTACATTGTGTTTCTTAGAGAGTTTCTATACATTACTATACATTACTGATTCACATGTACATATACATGTACATTGTGTTTCTTAGAGAGTTTCTATACATTACTATACATTACTGATTCACATGTACATATACATGTACATTGTGTTTCTTAGAGAGTTTCTATACATTACTATACATTACTGATTCACATGTACATATACATGTACATTGTGTTTCTTAGAGAGTTTCTATACATTACTATACATTACTGATTCACATGTACATATACATGTACATTGTGTTTCTTAGAGAGTTTCTATACATTACTATACATTACTGATTCACATGTACATATACATGTACATTGTGTTTCTTAGAGAGTTTCTATACATTACTATACATTACTGATTCACATGTACATATACATGTACATTGTGTTTCTTAGAGAGTTTCTATACATTACTATACATTACTGATTCACATGTACATATACATGTACATTGTGTTTCTTAGAGAGACATGTACATTGTGTTTCTTAGAGAGTTTCTATACATTACTATACATTTCTATACATTACATTACTATACATTACTGATTCACATGTACATATACATATAAATATACACATATATACATATACACATATATACATATATACATTATATATATATATATATATATATATATATATATATATATATATATATATATATATATATATATATATATATATATATATATATATATAAATAAACCTGTAGTTGTGATATACGTCAATGCAGGTATGACTTCTCTAAAACTACAGAAGATACTTGGAACGTTACATCAGTAGAATTAGACTAGAACACCAATGCTCTCATGTGACATATATTATCTGACATTCAACATTCAATACGTAATTATTTGATATATTTCCTGTCTCTTTATCTAAAAATTAAACTAGCCTGAACTCATCAGATTAAAACACTCTTTAATAATCACAAAGCAAAGAATATGACTGAATGAAGGAAAATGTCAAGTTTGGTACAATCCCCTAAGAATTTTTTTTCATTTTATAATAACTATAGCCATTATCTTTTAACCAAAAGTTGCCAGGGATGGCATGTATGTATATGCAATGTACTGTGAGTTTAATTTATGAATTGTTTTTCCCCATGGAATGCTCCACAAGTACTAAGTCACCAATGAGCCAGTTACAAGTACTACCTGTCTCACCTGTTTACCCTTTTCTTAGATTTTTTAAAATATTTTCTGGCATCTAATATTGTTGTTAGTAATGTCAATAACAGTATAATATTTATAATGTCTATAATGATAATAACAGTGTCAATATT